ATAGATTCTCCCTAAATTTTCCAGCTAGCCTTGAACTCCTGCCTCCCACTCCCAAATATCTGAGATTGTATGCCCAGCTTAGACATGACTCTTCGGTGGGGGGTACTAGGGATTGAACCCAGGACAAATTAAGTTTGCTAAGTTCCCTATGTGGAACTTGATCCTCCCACTTAAGCTCCCAGAGTGCTGGGCTTGCCAGTGTGCACTGCTGTGCCTGGCTAGATATGATTCTTTAAATGGCATAAATTCAAATTTATCATGAATAAGATACGGAAATGTGACTGCCTATAGTTTATTGCATACCATTTTCTAGAGTGCAAGAGGGCAAGTTATAAATCCCTTTTTTGTTGTTATTTTTTGTTTGTTTACTTGTATTTTGAAATAAAGTCTCCCTATATAGTTCAGGCTGGCCCTAAAGTCACTGTGTAGTCCAAGTTGGCCTCAAACTCGTGGCAATCCTCCTGCCTCAGCTTACCGAGTGCTGGCATTATCGGCCTGTCCTGTGTTGTCCAGCCTATAAATCCCTTCTTATGAATAGAAATGTTGAAATGCTTTGGCCCATCTGTACTTTGAAATTAAATGTTATGGTCCCAGTTCATCAGCCTGTGAGTACTCGGTGAAGACAAACTGTGTTGTAGGAAGTAGCAGCTGGTATTTTCCTTCTTCAAGTTGACAGTCTGGCATGGCTTTTTAATAGCAGACTATCGACCTTGGCACCTGTATATATGTCACCTTGTCCTTAGCCAACTTGATTTTTTTTCCTCTACTTTATTATAGTTCTTTATTATTCTTAGAATAAAAATCAAGGCTAGGAGCTCTATTGTTCATTCTAAAAGTAAATTTAGTGTCAGGCCAAGATATACGCAGTAATATTTTCATTATTTGGGTTTGAAGTTCACAAGTTTCAGAGAAAATTGACGATGGGTAAATCAAAAACACTTTAGTGCTAAAAAAAAAAAAAAATGGCTACCTTTCTTGGTCAGCAGATCCAGGGCAGTTCAGGGCGCTTCTGTGGGACACTGCAGCCCTATCCTAAGTGAGTCTTGTTTATGAGGATACTATCTCCAAGTTCATCATTTCTTTCCTGATTTTTGCTTTTTTGTTGTGTTTTTTGTCTTTTTTGAGTCAGGGTTTCATTATGCAGTTCAGGCAGGTCTTGAACTCACTTTGTAGCCCATGCTGGCCTCAAACTCGCAATGATCCTCCTGCCTCAGCCTCCCAAGTGCTGGGATTACAGGCGTGTACCAACACACCCAGCTCTCTTTCCTGATTTTTGCTTCTTACCATCTAGGTACATCATTATGTTTAAATTTTCTTTTTGTGGTGACTGAAACTTCAAGTTGTTTACCTTGGTTCGTTTGTAGTGCTTGACAGAAGACAAGGTCAGCCTTCTGCTAAACCTGCTTGAAGATGAACTTGATCACCAAGCCGATGAGAAAAAAGCTACAAGCAAACTGGGCTCAGACATCCAAGTCCACGTCACTGCTTGTATTCTCTCTGTGTGCGGCTGGGCATGTAGGTTAGTCAGAGAATCTTGCCTGGATGAACTGTGAAAACAGTCTGTACATCTGTCACTAGTAGCATTTGGAAATCACATGATGTTTCCGAAGAAAACAGAGACAGAGAAATTAGGGGCAGGAGTTGGGGAGGGCGAATAATCAAAATTAACTAACAAAACCAGAATTAGAACTTAGGAATCTGTGGTATTTATACTTTATTTCTTATATTGTTACTTCCTACCTGGGAGCTTATGTTCCTATAAAGAATAAAGCTCCTTTCTATAGTTAGACACAGGAAAAGTCAGTTTAATTGATAAAACTACCAGAGCAAACATCAGCTGAAGCCCCCAGTTCATGTTGGTATTTCCATTCCACCTGCTCAGTTCACCAGAGACCTCCCAAGGCGGAAGACAGTCAGAACAGATCCCAATTTGTGTTAAGTGTGCTTTCTGTGGTAGGTTAAGGCAAGAGCTTTAAGAGACACAGAAGAAGTTTATAAAACCTATTTCAAAGTACCAAGGCCCAGACCTTTTATGGAAATACATGAGTAGGACTGAGGCGGATGGTGAGATCAGTGGACAGGGCCTTGGAAGGACATGGCTCTCGGTCCACAGGGCCACCGCAGAGATGTGCTAGCTGAAATGAAGCGTGCTCACAAATTGTGCTGAGTTGTGATGATATTATCTGTGGTGATATTATCTCACTTTCTTTTGCATTCCTTCCTAGTTCGGCTCTGGAACCTATGCAGCTCTCCCTGATAGTGTGCTCTCAGTGCATGAGGAAGGTGGGGCTTTGGGGCTTCCAGCAGATGGAGTCATCCATGACTGACCTGGAGACCTGCTTTAGCCACACCAGCTCCCCCTTTGCAGGGCCTGAGGGTCGGCCAGAGCGCTTCCCTCCAGTGCCCGAATCTCCTCGGAGGATAATGACCCGGAGCCAGGATGCCACATTTTCTCCATGCTCAGAGCAGGTTTTGACTTAGCTTGTTTGGGGTAGACATGTTAATAGCATTCTTGCTAAAAAAATGTTGGTGGTAGAAAGTTGGAAATTAGTGGAGAGCCTTTACTTTTTTTTTTTTTTTTTAAACTAGGGATTGAACCCTTGATTTTCACACTAAACCACATCCCTAGCCCTTTTTATTATTTTATTTTGAGGCACAGTCTCACTAAGTCACTAAGTTGCCCAGGGTGGGCTGGAATTTACAATTCTTCTGCCTCAGCTTCCCCAGAGTGTAGTAATTACTATACGTGTATATGTGTTCCCCACTGCCCAGACAGGTAGGCTCTACCTCTGACCACATAGATCAGACTATCCTGTCATGTTTCTCTTCACCAGTGGAGAAGCTAAATTCATTACAGAGATTCAGTAAAGAAATACAATTCTCTTTAAGATTTTAGTTACTGGGCCGGGGATGTAGCTCAGTGGCAAATGTGCCTGCCTGGTAAGCACAAGGTCTTGAGTTTGATTCCTGGTACCAAAAAAAAAAAAAAAAGAAAAAAACCCTAAGAGTTTATAGTTATGTAGGCAGTTCAGAAACTACTTAGAAGTACTTCCTTGGCCTACCCATTGACATCATTCATATATTCTCATTGTCTCCCCTTCAGGCTGAAAAGAGCCCAGGTCCCACTATCTCTCGCACACGGAGCTGGGACTCTTCCAGTCCTGTAGAGCGGCCTGAGCCAGAGGCAGCCAGCCCCACCCCCAGAACCCGCCCTGTGACTCGGAGCATGGGCACAGGGGACGCTGCTGGCCTGGAAGTGCCCTCCAGCCCTCTCCGGAGAGCCAAGCGCGCCCGCCTCTGCTCTTCAGGCAGCTTGGTGAGTCTGCTGCTGCCTGCAGCCATGTGGCGTGGAAAAGCAGGCACAGGCCCTCCTGCTTCTGCAGCCAGAAGTAGACTGTGAATAATTACAGGGTGGGCACGTGAGTGACCAAAGGGAAAAAATTGAAGGGTTGTCATTTGTTCCTTTGGGATGGATTCTCAAGAGGTAATGAATATTTCAGCCTAATGGGACAGAAGTAAGGAGCAAACCTGATAAGTATTGTTTGTTTACACAAAAAGACTAAAAGAATAAAGGGAGAAAAATAAAAATAAAGAAGAGTTAGAGGAGAATATAAAAACTAGAAATGTGGATAATCATGAGATTCTGGCTGTGATGTCTAACAGCAGTGCATCCCTGAATTGAGGTAGCACCTGCCCTTCACTGACATTGTCTCTTCCTTCTCCCTCAGGACACATCGAGAAGCTTCTTTGATCCCACCTGTCAGCACAGAGACTGGTGCCCTTGGGTGAACAGCACACTTGGCAGAGAAGCCAAGGAGAACGGGGGACCAGAGCAGGATGCCAGTGCCCCTGCAGAGCCAGGATGGAAGGCAGTGCTGAGCGTGCTCCTGGCACGTAAGCAGTCTAACCAGCCAGCTGAAGCCGACTCCATGGTGAGCTGAGCCGGCATGTGTGTGTGTGTGTGTGTGCGCGCAGTGCTTGCTGTCGGTAGGACTAGTGGCCGAAGCTGGTGCTATAATTAATACCCTGCCTACCTTCAGCTTTCCTAAGTCAAGTTGGACATACTCTGGTTTCATCTTAGAGAAAGGCACAAAAGTAGTTCAGTGTCTACAGCTTAGCATATAGCATTCCATCAAGTTCTGTTAGATTCTTTGTTCTCCCAGTAAAATGACTTGAGTTAGGAGAAGAGTACACGGAAATAGATGAATGGGCATCTGCCCCAGCCTCCTGCTGCAGATCAGCTGCTTACTCCATCAGCGGCTGTCACCGCCTTTGGAACCCGGCCATTGAGCTTGGCTGTTGGGAGTTCTGTGCTCTGATACCACTCCAGTGATTTCACTACCAGGTTGAGCACATTACTTTACTCTCCCCACAGCCCAGGCATGTGCGCTAGACCATCATCAACTATCAGGGTCCTTACTGCTGACAGGGTATGTAAGTGCAAAGCCATCCTGACAACTGAGAAAACAAGTCACGTGTTTGCTCTGTGTCAAGAATGAAAGTGATAGGGTGTATATTAAGAAATCATGAAAACTCAGTTGTCTTTACTCTGTGGGCTCACTTCCAGACTTGCCTTGTAGCCTGGTATAAATATAACAGTTTCTGACCTCTACAACCTCCAAGGCCAAATGAAATAACACTTGCCAGGCAGCAGTGCCAGACTGGTGGTCACAGGGTTCCACAGGAAGCAAATGTGATGCTAGAGGCCTAACAATGTACATTACTACCCTCAGTAAATACATGAAGGTTTTCCACATTTTTGCAGAAAAAAAACTTTTTTTTTTTTTTCAATTTAAAAGCTTTTAGAAAGATATGAAGCTATTTGAAGACAAATATTTGACCCATTGCTCCAATTAGAGATACTAAATTTATCTTTACGCATAAAATTCTCTCTGCCTAAAGGAAATAATGTTGCGCTACTGTCATACTAAAAAGAAACAGCACAGGGGGTTTGTTGTTGTTGCCTTTTGGTGTGTTTTTTGTGGGTGTTTTTGAAGTGGAAAATGTTGGCCATGGATTTCAAGGCTTTTCAGGTCCTAAATCCCAGTACTCAGGAGGCTGAGGCAGGAGGATTTTTTCAAGTTCAAAACCAGCCTGGGCTACAAAGTAAGCTCAAGGCCAGTCTAAACTACATAGAGGGGCTGGGGATTTAGCTCAGCGGCGCAGCACCTGCCTGGCAAGCGCAATGTCGTGAGTTCGATTCCTGGTACCGGAAAAATAAAATAAAATAAAATAAACTGCATAGAGATGACCCTGTCTCCAAAAAAAAGATCCTTTTTGGCAGCATGTCTCTCAACCTACCCCTTCCTGTTATAAATGGATAATACAGTACAAGGTTTAATAGGACTGTGGCAAGGATCTTGATGTTGGGAAAAAAGTTTATACTTTTTTGTTTGTTTTGTTTCTGTTTTCTTGAGACACAATCTCATTATGTAGCCCAGACAGGCTTCAAACTCACAATCCTATTGCCTCAGCCTCCTGAGTGTTGGCATTGCCGGCCGGTGCTACCAGGCCTGCTTTTTTTTTAAATTACTTTTTTTCAGAGATTGGAGGGAGTTCAAGACCAACCTGGACTGCATAACATGACCCTGTCTCAATAAAATTTTTTCAAAAAAATTTAGTTTCTTTCAGCTTTGATTGGTCTCTAAACTAACTAAATTCTTCCTCAGTTCCCCTGAGTTAGAACTCAAGCTTTTCTTGCACAGGATTTTATTTTATTGATATGCTCATTTATAAAAAAAAAAAAAAAAAAAGGATAAAAATCAGCCATGGTGGCACATACCAGTAATCCCAGCACTTGGGAGGCTAAAGCAAGAGGATCACCATTAATTCTGGCAAGTCTGGGACACCTAGTGAGTTTAAGGCCAGCCTGAATTATATAGCATAATCCTGTTTCAAACTCCTCCCCCTCGAAGGACAAGAAAACAATGGAAATGCCATTTTATATTAGAAACTAGAGGTAATTTTATGGGTTTGGTTTTTTTTTAAGTATTGACAATTGATGCCAGCATCTCCACCCTGAGCGACATCCCTAGAACTGTTTTTTCACTTTGAGACAGATTCTTGCTGAGTTGCTAGTTGCCTGGGCTGGGCTCCAAATTTGGATCCTCTTGCCTCAGCCTCCCAGAGTGCTGGGATCACAGGCATGTGCCACCACACCCAGCTAATGTATGATTTTGCTAAAATTCTTTGTACCTTTACTGAGACCCTTGCTGTATGGAATATCTGCTCTTTATTATCTCAAAGGCAAGGAGAACTAAGTGTTCCCATTTACTGAGAACTTTTGTCTTTTAATGAATTGTTTTTTTCTCCTTGTACCATCATTTCTCTCTCTTTCTCTTTTCAGTTTTTTGAGACAGGGTCTTGTATTGTAGTTCAGGCTGGCCTTCATGTCTCGTAATCTTAAAGCACATGGTAGGTATGATCAAGTAGTGATGAAAATCTTACTATTTTTAGCTCTGCTGACTAAAACGTGAAACTGAGAAAGCCAAGGTCATGGTTTAAACTCTTATGGGTCATTCAACTTTGTTATTTTTCCTCAGCTTGAATTTTACTGTTAACCCCAGCTGGGTACCATGTGTGAACCCTTAGTCACAGAAATAATGAACTAGGGCCAGTTTAGCAGCATGGATGAAACAATGCAAAATACGTGTTGCACTAATAGTGGTCAGAGTGCCATATCACGTACAAAGATGAGGACAGATACAGTACTAGGAGGGAGGGTATGAGTCATGATTTAAAGACACATGGTGTGTTTGCAGCAATCTGACAGGACAAAGTCTTTTTGACTTTGTTAGCTGTTAGCTATTCATTACATATAGCATAATATGAGTTTTTACACTGTTCTAGGTCTGTCTAACTCATTTTGAAAGAAATTTATACTAGGCCTTGAAACTGTTAGTTACCCTTTGTCTCCATAAAAATTTAATCCTCATTTTAATTTTTTTTTGGGGGGGATACCTATAGAGTCTATCTGAGAAGTCAAGGAAGGTATTCCGAATATTCCGGCAGTGGGAATCTTTATGCTCATCCTGAAGACGTTCCAGCCCCTCCCTGGAGAGAATTGGAATTCCGGCTTAATCCTAAGGAACCCCTGCCACTGCAAAGGCAGCGAGTGTCAGTCATCTTCGTGACTGGAAGGAGACCTGACTCCGTTGCTGGGAGAGGGGATAGCGCAGGCGCTGTTCTGTAAAGGCCTGCAGAGTTACTAAGCCACATGAAGGACCACCAAGAATCGGAGCACTTATCTCAGCAGCTTTAGTGAGGGCGGTGTTCTAAGGACCTGTATATCCCAGGAGTATGACAGTGTATGTTAATAAAGTATTTGCTAAGATACTTCCTGCTGGACAATTGCTTTCTGCCTTGGCTAGAGGGTTGAAGAAGACTTCAGTGTAACAGTGAACAGAGTCAAACTTCAGGTCCTCAGACAGCTGCAGAACCTAAAATTCATTTTTTAATTCCAATCAAAGAGGTATATGTAGTGTTTCTTAAACCAGAGGTTAGGGATTTCTGTTATGTCACCAGAAGGTCTCCCAGAATGAGGCAGTGTGAGTGGACTGATCCTTCTCTCCTTGCTTCAGTGACAGTGGAGTAACAGAGAAGAACGGGAGGAGGGAGGAAGCCTCCCAGAAGAGGCCCCTCCACGTGCCTTCTCATGCCTGCCTACCTGCCTTAGGGATCCAGGGCTCCGTCCCTGCTATGCAGCCATCAGCCTCTGTGATAGAGAGGATTGACCCTGAACCTGACCCATCTAAACACAGCTGCCCACTGATGGAGCACCGTGACCCACTGAAGGGTAGAAAGGGAAAGAGACTTAACTGCTTGATTTGTTTTAGAGTTCACTTTTTTCTGGTACTGTTTTTTTCTTTGTATTGTGTTCTGAGACAGGGTCTTGCTGTGTAATCCAGGCTGACTTTGAACTCACTGTGTAGCCCAAGCTGGCCTCAAACTCACAGCAATCCTCCTGCCTTAGCCTTCTGAGTGCTGGGATTATAGACATGTACCACACCTGGCCAGTCTTGAGTTTTAAAAGAATAAGCATTGTTAGTATATCTAAGTGAAGCTTCTACCAATGGACAAGGCCAGGGAGAGGCCACTTCTGTACCCTTTTCTAAGGGTATTTTTCTAAGGCTTTTGACAGTGGTAAATGTCTTGGCAACTTTGGTCTTTTAGTCATTATTGGTCTCCATGGTCATCCTTAGAAACTACCAGGCAGCTGTCTAGTGTTTCTAGAAATGTGACTGGCCCAGCTTGCCCCATGTGTTGACTGGTGACTTTGTTTGTTTATTTTGTTTTTTTTTCCGGTACCGAGAATCGAACTCACGACCTTGCGCTTGCCAAGCAGGCACTGTGCCACTGAGCTAAATCTCCAGCCCTTGACTGGTGATTTTGTGAATCAGAAGTCTGCTTTTGAGGTGATATTAGCCTCTCCATCAGTTAAAAAATAATACAGAATCATTAATACAAGATACTCATATAAGATATAAGCCATAGATTCAGTTTCTAATCATTTGGGTGTTTTTCAAGTCTTTTCATTACAATTTTTAATTTGCTCTCCAAGAAGTAATTACATTTCTTTAAAATATGTAAAAGTCCACATTTTATTGTTTATGTCTTTATCATAAATAGAAGCAGATTGAAATAGATTTGGTGTATTTCAAAAAACATTAGGCCTCTTGTTTGTGTGAAGACTGGGTAAATCCTCAAAGATGAATGGCACCCTAGTTTTCTCCCTGCAAGAAGTATATAGTCCAGGCCGGAAGACATACACATGGTTTGAGTGTATAAATGTTAACACAAACCAGCTGGATGAGGCACACGCCTGTAACCTCAACATGCAGAAGGCTGAGGCAAGAGTATCTTGGTGAGTTTAAGGCCAGCATGAACTACATAGCAAAATCCTGTCTCCAAAAAAAAATGTTACACAAACTACCAGATGCTTTAGAATTATTAAAAGAGAAAGAGCCAGGTGTGGTGCACAACTGTAATCGCAGCACTCAGGAGGTTGAGGCAGGAATGTTGTCACGAGTTTGAGGCCATCCTGGGCTAATAGTAAATTCAAGGACAATCTGAATGATATAGTGAGAGACCCTGTCTGAAAAATAAAAAGGAGGAAAAAGTTAATGCTCATGTGTGGAATTGGAGAGAATTTCAGGGAAAGTGTAGATTCGAGCTGTGTGTGGGCGTAGGAGGAGGGTCCATGAGCAAGGTCCTTGTCTGCCTTGGCTTTAATCCCAACACTACCTGCTCCATGGTGGATACACAATAAAAAGACATTTGAGGCCGAAGGAACACAACAGATGGGCAGAACGTGAGGTGTGTACCAGAAAGCACAGGTGTCCTACCGCAGCCAGAGCCTGGCACTGAATAGAAGAAGCAATGAGAGCGGAGGCCAGGCCCAGTTGCAGTCTGCTGTGTAGTATGGAGGAGCTGGGACTTGGTCTGGAAGAATTTTTGAGTAGAGGAATGACATGCTTCGGAAGCTCACATGGACACTCAGGAGCCTGTGCTAAAGCAGATGGGAGGTGTGATGTGGCTGTGTAGGACAGCAGGACAGGAATCGATAGACATGTCATCAGGTGCCTTCAGCATGATTGGTTTGGACACAAGGGAAAGGGAACAATCAAAGATGACCTCAGAGGCAAGGAAAGGCCGTCATTTTAACAACACAAGATGTCTATGTGGAAATGGTGCTCTGCAGTTCCAGGACAAGGAGTTGGCCTGTTCAAGAAGTCAGGGTTCCCCGGTCCAGGGCTCAGAATCTCCATGGCTGTGCAGAGTGAAACTCACCCTTGTCTTGCAAGATTGTGCACGTGCACATGTGTGTCGGGGGATTGAACTAGGCAAGCACTGTGCCACTGAGCTATGTTCCAATCCCTTTTAAAAATGTCTTATTTTGAGACAGTCTTTCATTGTGTTGCCTGGGCTGGCCTCTAGCTTGGATCTTCCTGCCTCAGCTCCTGAGAAGCAGAGATTACGGGTGTGTACCACCATGCCTGGCACAAGAGATCTTGGTGCCAGCCCATTAAACAGCACCAGCCCACCTGGCCTGCTTCCTGCTGCCTGGCTGGCAATAGTATTCTTCTGGCACCCAAGTGATCTCAGGGTTGAGCGAGCAAGCTCCCCCACCATACCAGGACATCGCTTCAATCCTAGGCGCTTCCTCATTTATCTGTGCTTTGTTCCTCTAAAAGGTTTTGCTTTCACCTTTCTAAGTATCCATTCTTCCTGATTTGATCCCTTATTTGAATATTTTTCTTTTAAAGAAGGTAATTGCTGCTGGGTGTGGTGACACACACCTGTAATCCCAGCATGCAGAAGACTGATGCAAAAGGATCACCATGAGTTTGAGGCCAGCCTGGGCTACATCATAGTGAGACCTGTCTCAAAAACCAAAAGAAAAA